CCCCCCCCTCCGTAAAGCTTGTACATGAATCATCTTATATTAAACACATGTAAAAAGTTGGACATGTGGCTGCAGCATCCAGGCTCCAAGTCTGTGCCACGGCACTCAATTTATTTTATTAATTGTCCATGTTATTTATACAAAAACCGAAAATTCCGACGATTAAATTTGATTAAATCAGCGGTTTTTTAACTAGAGGTTTTAATATTTTTAGAACTGATCTTACAGAAATATTTATTTTCCCTTTTCTTGTTCAGAGTTTTATGCTTAATTTTAATCCAGTTGAAGCAATTGAGATTCTGTAAATTTTCAAAAATGTTACATCCATCTAAAAATGTTATTATCCATCTAAACTTTTACTAAACATGGTTTCTTTATTTTCAGAGAATTGGAAATTTGTTGACTGCGATGGTTTCTTAACATATCCCTGCAAGGTAACATGCAATCAGGTGATGAAGCTAATCTCAACTCATTTTGGGTAAATGGATCCATGTAATTTCAACCCATATCTGGATCAAGGTGTTAGGAATAAAAGAGAGGAGGGGTCGACCCAGTCTGCCTCATCACATGATTACACAAAACACATGCTGAACAGATTTGACTCAGTTAAGATAACACATTTTTAAAAGATTTTTTAAAGAGTTTAAAAATATAAAGCTACTGGAGTACCATCTATTTACCATGCAAAACATATGGTGAGGTCTACCAGATTGCAGATTGACCCCTCCTCCTTTGTATTCCATATTCCTTGATTTGATATGGATCTTCTTAAACCAGAGGTGTGTTTTCTTATTGAAAAATTCCTTCACCCAACTAAATTTTGTCTAGGGGTTTATTCGCTGAATTGTGGGAAATAAACAAAATTTAGGTTTAAAGTATTCCCCTTTCCCCCAGGGAATATACACCCCTGAAAAATTACTCCAGATCTAGGTTCTGAACACTTCTTCAAGATCCACTGATATTTTGAACATAACGGGCTTTTGATTTTAATGTTCATTTCTTAAGCAATTTTCGTTCGTTCCGTGTTCGCTCTTTTAATATTTTTAATATTTTCTTCTAATATTTTTAAATACGCATTCAAAGAACAATCGTTCCTCAGGCTTGATGCCCAATCCTACGCTGGAATGCTGGATGTCTCAAACTTTCTTTTTAAAAGTTCAAATCTTGATTTAAAGTGATGTTTTGTAGTGAGACTTTATTCCAATTGTAACTTTTATATTAATTTAGAATGAAGAGGACCTATCAGAGAGAGTGGGCCTACAAGAAAAGGAGAGCTGCGTCTGTGTCTGCTTCATTTACAGCAGTAGATGATCAGGATGATCAGGATGATCAAGATCAGTGTGATCAGGATTATGAGTTGGATCAGAATGATCAAATTGATCTTTTTGATCAAAATGATCTAAGTGAATAAAATGATTTTCTTGATCAGTATTATCAAAATTAACAAGGACAATCAGGACCCTGACGAAACCCTAGAATTGGAAGAAGGTGGTGACCTATATGTTCAGCAACTGCACCTACAGATGCTGTGTTTTACTCACCTTATAGGACTCATCTTCTCGACTGTTTTCAAGATCAATTATCTACTCCATTTTTAGTATTCTGTAGAAATCTGGTTTGAGAACTATGATAATACGATTTTTTCTATTGTTCCCAACAAATGATAAAACTGTACAATATCCCATTAAATATACATATTAGTTCTTTTGCCACCTCATTCTAAATCGTGTTGTACCTAAATGATCGAGTAAGAATGTTCTTCTATTGCATTTTGTATTATAAATATTCTGAAAAGATTGTGATCAATATTGCAACTTTGCTTGGAAAAATATCATTTTACATGGTGCTTAAATATCAGATCACAATCAAATATTACTCCCGGTCCAGTCTTCTTCCACCTGCACAACACTATATTCTATGATTTTTTACCAGGAGACAGATGTTTAATAATAATTATGACATTTATAGCAACGTTATGGATTTAGAAAGTGAGAGTGATGATATTATTGATGGTTATTAATGATTGATGGCTGCTGATTTGAGAGCATGGGCGTCTTCGGAACAGGTGACAATGAAAAGCTGTGATTCTTTGTTAAAGATCCTGAAATTATTCCACCCACAACTTCCGAAAACAGCAAGAATGCTCCTGCATACAAAGAAGAATACTGTGAAAACAAACCAATCCAACATGGAAGTCTACTGGTTCAATGTTGAAAACTCTCTGAAATCTCATCTTGGTAGGTAAATAAAAATCAGACATTTAAACTTTGCAAGATTTCTCTGCAGTTTTGATAATTTCGGCAACTAAACTGGATTTGGACCCATTTTATAAATATTGATTTAAAGTTTTCTTAATTTTCCTTCGCCAATTATTATTCTGCTGAAATCTCCCCCAAGTTAAAACTGGAAAACAGTGCTTAGCTGATCTATTTAATATTGATGTGGATGCGGATCCGCATCCTGGATCTGCACTGGAAACAAATGTATCTGGATCCTGGATTCGGATCAGGATCCCAGTTATTTCTTTAAAATTTACTTATTTTTTTTTAACAAAGCAGAATTTTCAAATTTTTTGTCTTAATTTTTATGCTTATTTTTATGCTAAGACTTGATGAACCATTCAGGAAGCAGGCAATTTTTAAATTCTCTCTTCAATTGTTCAGATTCGAGTTTTGTGAGTTAAATTTTTGTTGTTGCATTTTTTGGTTGATATTTTGCCACTTGGATCAGGATCTGCGTATCGGGATATTTTTGCGGATTCGGATATTTTTGCGGATTCGGATCCAGGAAACCAAAATCTTGTGGATCAAACAGATCTGGATCCTAAGAACTGTTGGAAAATATTATGATTCATTTTATTTTATTCTGTTTCACTATTTAACATTCCCCCTACTAACTGGAAAACCGGAGGGGGGACGGGCTGTATTGAATATATCGCTGAAATGTTAGGATTATTTAAACGCTTAAAATATTCAGTGCATAGTTTAGAATTGAGTCTTTTTTTTGGCATGTTTGCCAAGCTATTCATCCTTATACCCAGTGATTAGGATCCATTTAATTTTGATGCGAATTCTGGATCTGCACTGGAAAAAAATGGATCTGGATCCAGGTCATTTCTATAAGATATACTGAATCTTTTTAACAAAAAATAATTTTCAATTTTCTTTTTATTTTTTTGCATATTTTGATCCTTAAACTTGATGAACTATTCAGAAATGAGGAAATTTTTATAATCTCTCTTTTTTTCAAAAGTTCATATTTTGGTTTTAGGAGTAAAAAAGTTTTTTTTGCAGTTTTTGGTTGATATTTTACTCTTGGATCCGGATCCAGGAAGCCTAAATCTTGCGGATCCAACAGATCCGGATCCTAAGCATTGCTTATACCTAACCTGACCTTTACAAGTGTTATCTCTCGAGGTTACCAACAATTTGAGGGGTGGAGTTGTCTAGAAGAATTAGGGGAGGACGGCGCCAAATAAACTTAAGGATCGAAATATTTTTGATTATGTCATATTTTATGGTTGACTTATTAATCACAAAAAAACTGATCTATTCACAAATCACCAATATACAAATTGCCTAATATACAAATAGGTTTTAGAAAGGAAGAAGTGAGATCCATTTAAATCTGATTTGATATTGAGTCGATTAAGTTTTCTGAACAGTTGAGAATGGAATTCCAAAATTAACTATTTTGTTTCAGGTACCCTGCTGAGACGTCATTGTCAGTGACTGAGTTTACTCTTCTTCAACTATGATTGGTAAGCTAAAAATACATTTTTGATTTTAGACTGGATACCGATTCAATTAGAATAAATGCATGCTTATTCCTCTAGTACTTTTTATTGGGTTACCCTCGTAGTCTTGAGTATTGAAAATCTTATTTTGCCGTCAAGCCGTAATCTTTACACATCACGCACCATCTGACCCTTCATTAAAAGTAAATTCAACCTAAAGTCTGACCGTGTCAACCTTGTTGCACCGGCTAATCCTAATGAGTGTCTGCTTTATTTACACAATGTCTGGGTAATACAGTACAAACAGGGACCGGAAAAGTTGACCCGGCTCGAAAATTAAATTCAAATGTACTATGGCTGCCCGTGACATGTATAAAATCGAGCATGACAAATGACGGCCGTCCCCCCATTTTGTACTCCCTTACCAGAGTGGTTATTATTTTAAATTTATAATTTTTTTGTACTGTTAAAAATTTTTTCCCAGGTCAATTTTGTTCCGTGCATTACGGAAGTTTTCTTGAAGCTGTAAAAACTTTGAAAATTAATTAAGTGCACAACCTTTGTTTACCAAATTTGTAATAAACCTGTAATTTGTAATTCCTAGGTTGCCCGTATTTAAGAGTTCTTCTAAAGCTCTCTGGCCACTTCTGTGCATGGTATCTAACCTTGCCCCTAAAGCAGTATTTCCAATACTACTATCCATGGGAACGTCAAAACCTACAGATTGGGATTGGATTGAACCCACCCTTCAGGTTAATAAAGTTTTTATGATATCTGTTAGGAAAAAAATTAAGCGTAATTATTTTTACTAATTTCTCGGAGGTACCCCCCCCCCTTGATGATGAACAACGAAAATATAAGGCTTTATTGATAGGGAAACACATTATTTTTAGAATGGATAAATTAAATTAATTCAAAGCATTAATTATTTAAGCCCAGATTGAGGTCCATTTCCTGATTAACGTTCTTTACGTTTTTAAAACTAAGTTAAAACCAAATAATTAGGCTCACTGCCGAAGTCTACGGTTGGCGAGTTTTTCTTCATAATGAGTTGGTTGGGGGTTTTATGTTCAGAATAGATGCTCAAAAAATTCATTTAACATTAAAAATTAAATTATTTTTAAGTCTTACAGACTTACATTCAATTCAAACAAAATTTACCACTATTTTAATTATTTCTAATTTCCAGAAATTGTTTCAATAAATATTTGAAAATTATCATTTTCCCCTTTATTAGGACAATTTTTGGTTATTTTGAAAAACTCTTCAACAAACCTTTACCCATTCCTTCTGATAAGTATTTTTTGCTTTTCTAATTATAACAGGTTTTGTTTGTTTTAGGAATTAAGAGATATGTCTGTAAATGGGATTTACATCAATGAAAGGCATTACCGAGGTCGAAGTTGCATTAGACGAAATGAGAATGCTCCAGGGATTGGTCAGAAAGAAAGTGTCTACTGAGAGAAAGGAGATTTATCAATGCAAATAGAAATATGACTTGATCCGGATGGAAAAGAAGCTACAAACGGAACCCTTCAGATCAGAGCTGGTAAGAAACCACTTTACTGTAACTTTGATGGGTACTTTGAGTGGTTGTGGAATTATTGTATTTTGCTCTTCAAAAGAATTATTGTATTTTACTCTTCAAAAGAGTAAGGACAAACTCCTGATGATGCCAAAGTTTTTGGTGAAATATATTGAGAAGAAAATGATATAATTCTAGTGCTAGAGAGTAGGGTTGGGATTTGTTTAAAAACGATCTAAAGTATTTTGCTCGAGTTTGCTCTTCTGGTGATATTTTGACTAGTTTTATCAGAAAGATCAATTGAGAATTGAAATGAATGCTTGAAATCCATACATAAAGCAATCATGGTACATAATAAAAATCCTTTTCAGTGATGTATTTTTTTCATAATTACTCCCCCCCCCCCCTACAGGAAGAAGCAGGAAACAATTATTTTTGATGAAATGAGGGGGGGATATTTAAAAAAAAATATTTTTTTTTCGGAAAATATACTTCTTAGTTGTTTTTCTGATTTTTATTCTACAAAATCAAATATTTCAATCCTACAGAAAGTTTTCTAAAATTACGAAACCTATTCAAAATTGCAGTGCTTAGGATCCATTCAATTTTGATGCGGATCTGAATCCGGATCCTAGATCTGCACTGGAAAAATATGGATCTGGATCCAAATCCGGATCCGGATCCAAGTCAATTTTTATAGATTTTCTGAATTTTTTAAACAAATTTTTTTTTCAAACTTTTGGTTTTATTTGTTTCGCTTATTTTTATCCTAAAACTTGATGAACCATTCATAAATGAGGAAATTTTTATAATCGCTCTTTTTTCAAAAGTTCAGATTTGGTGTTTTGGAGTAAAAAAGATTTTTTTTTGCAGTTTTTGGTTGATATTTTACCCCTTGGATCCATATCTGTGGATCCGCATATTTTTGCCTATCCGGATCCGGATCCAGGAAGCCAAAATCTTGCGGATCCAACGGATCCGGATCCTAAGAACTGCAAAATTGAATAAATTATAACGTTATTTAGATCACGGAGCTTGGATTTAAGACAGGCGTGTCGGTTAATCACAGCATCAAGCTAATGATGAAAGAGATAGAAACAGCGACTGTATGGGGTCTCTACAACTGGAAGGGACAGAGAGGAAAGATCTCTATAGGCAGAATACTTTGCCTAATCTCGTCAGAGCCATTACCCGTAAGTTTTTTTGACAAGATTTATTATCTTTTAATTTTTTGTAATTTAAGCAACTGTAATAAGTATGTAGTTAAGATATTGTCATTGTCAAAAATTGTAGTCGGAAAGAAAAAAAAAATCTTCTACTGTTGTCTCTAAATCTCAGGTTGCTTAAAAGTTTATGCTAATAAAACAACTTCATCGAAACGTTCAAAAATGAGAAAGAAACAAGAAGTTTTAATTTAAGAATTTTTACAATTAGAACTGCAGCAGGTTCAATGTTCTTTGCAAATCTAATAATTACATTTTCAGGTGCAGTCCAGAACTGGAACAAGAAAGCCAGTGACCATGAAATTGGTCAAACCTTCTGAAGGCAGCTCCAAGGAAAGTTGGGGTATGTATTGTTAAATATCTTTTTCTCATGGTTGTTCTTAATTAAATTAAGTCCAACAAAAACAATTTTTTCTTATTTTTTTTACTTTGCCCAAAATTCATTTATTACCACTTAAAGAGGCATGTTCAATTTACATCGGTACCCTTTAAATTTACTTTAAATCAATGATTTCAAACATATTCTTATTTATATATGGCAGGTAATTAAGTGCATGGAGTGCACACTGTAACCTTGAGTCTCCTTCCACTCAACCTTTAGCTATAGAAATAAGGGTATCTAACTCATCGTTGAACAGACTCAGGTTTAATGGTACTGTTGTGAATCGGGCATACCTCAGTAATAGTGTCACTTGAAATCATGTCCAATGAAAATAATCACCCCTATTTCTTTTTCCAAGTTTAACTCAATTTAACTTTAATAATGATTCTTTAAGATTTTCGAAATGTTTCCCGTTCAAACCAACATAATAAAAAGGTTAAGGTTTTCTTGACTAAAAATAATATCCAATCCACCCTCATTCTCTTTTATACCTCATCCCTTCCCTACTATCAGCTTCCCTTTTATATATATGCTTTTCCTCCCTTCTGATTTCTGAAATAAATGTTCCAGTACCCGGCAAAATATAACATTCTCTTCCTTCCTCTCACCCTTACTGTGTTTTTTTCCTTGCCATCCAGATCCTTGATCGTTTTTTTCCCTTTTGCATAGTGGGGAGGGGAGGTGGGTGGATAGCTATATTGAAATTATAATTGTGTTGTTTTTTATTTATGGATAACTCTAAAATCAAGTTTTACAAAGATATATTGTTAATTGATATAATTGTTACTGATAAATTGTTTTGACAAAAAATATTTTTTATTCTAGCTTTATTTTGGATGTCATGTCTGTCAGTTTATGATTGATGTTTATTCCAATAGTAAATGAATTGTTTATCCAGGCTGGTGCTGATGATGCTCCTGGTGTTGGTCCTGATGTTGGTCCTGATCAGAATGGTCCTGATCCTGAACTCGAGAATATGAAAGTGGGGGGGGGGGTAACAATATCAACGAGTATAAGATACTTCAATTTTTTTTGTGCAATATCAATTTCATTACAATTATTGCTTTATGAAGAAACAAGTAGATCTGGGACCATATTCAATTAATAGTTTAACTACGTCGATCAAGTGAAACCAAGCTTTTTGAGATTGAATTGCCGAAATAGAGAAATGTGTAAAATCATCTTTGAAGCCCAACTACCATTCTCTATTTAAGAATTTAGGTTCCTGATTTTTTACTTTCAATTAATTTGATATTAAGCTACAGGGTGTCCCACAAAAAATGACAGTTGGTTTATAGTTTTGAATGTCGTTATCCATACACAATATTAGATATTGAAGGCTGTTTGCAGTTTATTTCGTTTAAAAAATCTTTTTCTCAAATATGTTTTACGTTGAAGTTAATTTTACTATAATATGACTCCTTTATAATATTTTTATTATTGTCTGGTATTAAACAACCTAACAAATTATGGAAGAAAACATTCTTAACTACTATGTAAAAACTGTCTTGCTTTGTGGGACGCCCGGTAGTTATCTTCTTCTCTTGCAGTTTACTCATTAGCACAAAAGATACGAGTTTAACTACCAGAACTAGTTCAACCCCTGGCTGCACGTCAGTTCTGACCTCAGATTTAATGAAAAGTTCTGTGTCCGAATTTAATGAATTTAAGCAGCATCTTAAATCCGCCAAAAACCAGTTTCAATTGGGTGCCGGCTTAAATCTTGAAACAATGAATACGACTTTAAGTGGAACCAGCCATATTTGAGCCGCAGCTTAAATTTAAGCCACGGCTCAAATTCTTTAAATTTGGCCTCTGGGTGGTGGAACTGTGTTAACATAGTTGAACAGTTTATGCTAGTTTGTTGTAGTTTTAACCTCAAATTAATGAATATCCAGAGGTCTATCTATCTACATAAAAATTTCATCCACCTTTCAACATAAATGAATCAACTTTTAAAGCATTTGGAATTAAATTTTCATATTAGATTTTGTTCCCAAATATGTTATGAGTTGAAACTAAAACTAACACTTATACACGATGGATAATCACTCCCCCCTCCCCTTTCCAATTTATGCTTAATATTTTTTGGTTTTATTCGCAGAATTATGGAAAATTAACGATTTTGGAGGGGGGGGAGGTGAGAATTAAAAAAGTTTTGATATTAAAGGGACTGTAAGCGTAATTTAAGTAACCTTCAATGCAAAGGTTTTATTATTGTGATGAAACATGGGTATCTATAGAAAAATACTTAATAAATAAAAGCATTTAAGAGTACTGTTGTTAATCAGGCATTGTCTACTTTGCATGGAGGCTTATTTGAAACTACGCTTACAGTACCTTTTAGTATTAAAGAATGAAAAAGCTTACCTCATAATGCCTTAATTTGATAGTTAATTTTTCTGTAAAGGAAACTCTTCACAAGTATTGTTGGCACTTTGCACGAACATGCATAACTGTGAGAAGGGGGGGGGAGTGACTCTTCAATAAAATTTACACCCCTGCTCAACTGCACAGTATATTAGTTTATGTTCTAGTTTCAACCCAAAAGCTATTTGAAAACAAAATTTAATATGAATTTATCTTTCTAACTGCTTTTAAAATCATTTATGTTGAATGGTAATTCTTGTTTACATTAAAACTACCTCTGGAAATTAACTAATTCGAGGTCAAAACTAAAAACAAACTAACATAAAACAGGTTAACACAGTTCCACCACCCAGAACTATTCATTAAATCTGAGGTTCTACAGAACTGCAGACGTGAAGCCAGAGGTTGAACTAGTTCTGCAGAACCATGTTACTTTAATACAGGTAATATTATCCTTGAAATATCTTGATTTAATACTAAACCTTGTTATCTCGTATCTAGTGCGATAAATCAAGTGTGCAAGAAAAGAAGTTAGCCTAATATCAATTTAATCTATCATATGAAATCAGGAACCAAAATTCTTAAATAGAGAATGGTAGTTGGGCTTCAAAGACGATTTTATCCACTTCTCCATTTCGGCAATTCAATCTTAAAATGTGGTTTTATTTAATCTACGTAGTTCAACCACAGTGATATTAAAATCTCCTCAAGAGTCTTTTTGCTTCCTGTTAAAGAATTTGGAGAAAAGGATTTTTTGTTGTTGCATGAGGAAGGGAGTGCAGAGCATCCATGAGCCCTGCAAACTAACCTTAGGAACCTCCTGATTAGCAGAATGGCCTCAAATCCTAGTCAATCAAAATCATTCTAAGCCTCATGCTACGTCTGTTACCAACTCTGTTTTCTCGTCAAGCAATCTAATATCTAATAACAATTTTTTACTTTTACATCCGCCAAAAGCCTTTTTTTGATATCAAAACATTGGCATGAATTGTTTTTAATGGTACATCATTAATTTGTTTTAAAAGGTTTACTTTTATTGAGATTAAGACATCTTATTTAGTTGTTCTAAACTTTCCTAAACTGTGCATAACTATTGCAGCTTTACATACAGAAAGACAAATTGTATATCATTTAACAGGTGTATTATGTACGAATCAAACTAGACTACCACCATTTTGCAAAACATATCAGTTTTTTAGAAATACTATAATTTGTGCATTTATTGTATTTCATTTTTCAAATAATTCACAAAAAGTTATTGTTTTGTGAATTAGTGTTAGTCAAGATAGATTTATATGAAGCTGAAATAATGATGCACAAGATTAGGAATTTGTGTTAAGAAAAACAAAATATATAAAGCCTTATTCTTAATAAAAGTAGAATTTAAATACAAATTGTTTGTGTACCATCAACATCTTATTGCCTAGACTATAAATATAAAATATTGAATCTTTTTTTGTTGTGCAGTTTTTTCTTCATTTTTTTAACTATACTAGATTTTTTGTTAATCTGTGATTAATTTAGAACCTGCAGTACAGCAGGAAAATTATGTGATGTTTTTACTGTGATATTTCTATAAAAAAAGAAATAAATACATTTTTGGAGATTTGTCATTTTCTCAATTTATGTACGAGATTTGGACGAGTTTGAGGCACGAAAACTGTACGTGTAAAAACACCGAAATAATTCCCAAATTCAGACGTGTAAGACACGGGATAAATTCATTGAGGTTTTTTTAACTCGTCTATTTAACACAAGAGGTTTACGGGATTTACATGCGACCTGTATTTAGCATGTGTAATACACGGGACAATATCCCGAGATGTTTAAAACTCTTCTGTATAGCACAAGATATTTACGGCTTTTTTATGCGACCTGTAGACTAGTTCAAAACTGTGCTGAAAGAATTAATTATAAAACATGGGTTCCTGCCGGGCAAAAACTCGGTCCTAGACCCGTGATCAAATTGTCGACATTCACCTCGACAACACGGGATATTGACGGGTCACTCGTGCGAAATAAACCAAATAATCTTGTGTTCTTCACGGGTTTTTGTTTGTTGGGTAGGACAATGAAAGAAAACATAAACAAATTAGAAAATACTGCTGGGATAGACCAATTATTAGAATTAGAACAGGAATTCTTGGCTTTAGAAAAAAAGATTGAAGAAAGATTAACTACTGACGACAATAGCATAGATGATTACAATACTAAACTACTTTTACTTACTAATAAACTAGAGGAATTAGACTTATCTGATACAAAAGGGATAAATGTTCAATTAAAATCTAAAATTACCGAACTTGAAAGAATTTTAGCAAATATGCTAGAAAACAACCATGCCAAAACAACATTTGAAAATAATGAATTACTTACGCTTAAAGCTGATGTAGATGCCATAAAAAAGGCTTTGTCTGAATCTATTACAATATTTAACGAAGAAAAAGATAAATTGAAACTGTTTGTAGAACCTATAAAAAAATTAAGTAGCGATGTTGAAAAATTAAAATTCACCTTAGAAAATTGGGATGATACCAACCCTCAGGGAATTACTATAAATGATGACT